CCAGCCTGGGCTAACAAGTGAGTTCCAGGAAAGGCACAAAGCTACACAGAGAAACCCTGTCTCGAAAAACAAACAAAAAATCTCAAAAATATATGAAATAAATATAATTTGTTGTTGCTGATCTTCTTGGGGTGATGAATCAGCTATGATTAACAAGTCATTAGTGCTACTGAGCTGAATATTAGTGCTACTGAGTGAACTGTTTTTCACTGGCACAATGGGATGCTGGTCATATGAAGCTGAAGGATTAGCTGTGTTTGGTAAGAGATTGGCCCCACTGAGATGAACTCTTCTGTGACTCATTGGGATAATAGGTAAGTGGTCAGCACACTAAAGCTATAGTCTGAAGAGGACAACACTATATCTAACTATTCTCCCTCTTGGGATATGTACTTTAGCTGTACCTAATCTAACTTTGGAGGGAATAGTGGTAAGGCTTAGAAAATCTGTAAGGCTGCATTATTGTCTGTCTTTCTCACTCTATTTCCTTAAGCAACTTCATACATGTCCTTTGATGTTCCTTGTAGTGTACTGGCTAGATTTATGCCAATTCAACCAAGCTAAAGACATACTAGAAGAGGGAATCTCAACTGAGAAAATGCCTTAACCAAATTGGTCTGTGGGGAAGACTACTGTGCAATTTCTTGACCAGTAATTGATACAGGAGGGTTCATCTCACTATGGGTGTTTCTATCCCTGGGCTGGTGGTACTGGGTGCTGTAAGGAAACAGGCTGAGGAAGAGATTGGAAGTAGCCTGTTGTCCTTGGGATTTTTAACTGCAGAGAGACATTTGATTGTAGGGGCTGTTAAGTTAAGCCAACATATATATCTTAAAAGTACCTTGACTTCAAAATGTGGGTCTTAAAACATGTTGCTTTAGAAAAGAGGTTCCGCTTTTATTTCCACAAAAGATGAGAAGCTGTGGATTATTTCTAGGTTAATATGATTCCATCAAGGAAGATCCTCTGAGAGATCTCCAATGGGAGCAATGGCCCAGATGATCCAACATCCAGAACAGCTTCAAGGAAACTAGCTATGATAATGTAGCTTCGCAGACTACTCCAATTAGGACTTGACCATAATCCTATATTTTCTCAGGATCCTCATAAGATTGCCAGGGCCCCCAATCCAGCAGGAAGTAATATAGAAAGCTACGCCCAAATTCACAAAATATTGTTTATGAATGTTTGTTTTTATTTAAAGAGGGATATGATATAGAAGTGATGAAAAAGAGGTAGATTATTAAATCTACTTTAGTTTAAGAAACAATTGTTAATCTCAAAATACTTTACATTGGTAGGATTTTTGGTTTATTAGTACAATTTTAAGGTTAATTTTGTTATACTGTATGTATATTTCTATTCTAGTTTAAGGTATTATGTTCATGTAACTTATTTAAAATTATAATATATATTTAAGAAATACAGATTAATAGTCATCTGTGATAATGAAACTTATAGTCATGTTAGTTAAGATTTAAGGTATACAAAGATACATTTCAATTAGATAGATAATCTTCAAACACTTCAAAGACCTGCAGAATATGGAATTTTAAATGTTTTAAGATCTTAGACTTTTCTGGACAGTGAGAAACACCTGCTCCTGGAAGCACCAATTGCTTCAAAGAGGGTGATGGGCACCAAAGAAACTCATTACAGAGTTTGCTTACAATGTGGAAAAGGCTAGCCATTTGGGGAAGAAACTGCTCTTGCCTGGACTGCTTGACAATATGCTATATAAACTGGACATGCAGAACCCATAGAAAGGTGACCACTGAACTTTGCCAGTGGTCCTTCAGGTTCCTGCTTCACAGAAGAAACTGCCAGGCATTCTGCAGAACACAGAGAAAAGTGACTGATGAACTTTGCAATAGGAAGAACAGTCCTTCAAATTTTCTGTTTCACTGAAAAGTATGACAGATATTCTAGGCCTGTAGGCTGAAGATGGATGCCCCAACGGTACAGAGGAACTTTGGGTGACTGTCCATGCAGCCAGATGTTTCTGTCATTTCTAGAATTTTGGAAGTTACTTGCAATGCACTTCCTGTTTACTCAGATAATATTATATCCTTCTGGGGTCTTTGATGGAGTTGAAGACTAGATAGTTATAGTTTTCCTTGGTTATGGTAAAAGGTGAATTAGATATGAAACTTAGGCTCGCAAATATAGGATAGATGATAGAATATTTTCTTTAATTTTGCCAAATACAAAGATTAGATATTGTAACTATAATTCTTGCTTGATAACTGTTTATTATATGTAATTTTACCATGTTAAAGATAAAACCTTCCTTTTTTGTTAGATAGAAAAGGGGGAAGTCTTGTGGGATGGTCTTTCTGTATGTTGTGAATATGTGTTGCTACTATTGGTTAATAAAGATGCTGTTTTGGCCTATGGCAACATAGGATATAGCCAGACAGGAGATCCAAGAGAAAAACCAGGAGAAGAAAGGCAGACTGGGGGAGATGCTGCAAGCCACCAGGGGAGCAAGATGTAGTAGAACACAGGTAACTCCTTGAGACATGTGGCAATACACAGATTAATAGAAATGGATTAATTTAAGATGTAATAGCTAGCTAGCAATAAGCCTGAGCCACAGACCAAACAGTTTGTAATTAATATTAAGTCTCTGAATGATTATTTTATAAAAACTGCTGCTGCCCAGGCAGGACTGGATGGGACCAAGAAACTTCAGTCTACAGTAGCCATTAAGAAGCACTATTCCATGTCCTCTGTATCAGTTGCTGTCTCTAGGTTCCTGCCTTGAGTTCCTACTCTGAACTTCCTAGATGATGTACTATAGCCTGTAGGAAAAAAAAACCTGGATTGGCAGGACTAGCTAAAGCTCATTTGTGTTCAATTTTTCTGTTTCAAAATTAAAAATAAATCTCTTTTAGGCATGAAAACAGACAAAAAAATCTTCCTCCACTGTAGCAGGAATCTTAAAGAGTCTTATTAATAAAATCAAACCTGGAGCCAGGTACTGGGGTCAATGCTGGACGATCAGAGAGACAGGACAGGCCACAGCTACCTCACCTCACCAGTTCCTCAGCTGGTCTTGTTTCCTCAGACTGGAAGCTTCTGTGTCCTCATCCCAATGGCTCTCAGCTGAACTGTGCTGCTCAAAACCTAAAAGCTTAACCAGCCAAATGCTTCTAGTTCCTGGTCTTCACACCTTATATACCTTTCTGCTATCTGCCATCACTCCCTGCGATTAAAGGATCACTTCTTGGGATTAAAGGTGTGTGTCACCATACCTGGCTGTTTCCAATGTGGCCTTGAACTCACAGAGATCCCAGATGGATTTCTGCCTCTGGAATGCTAGGATTAAAGGCATGAATGCCAGCACAATATTTTGGGGAACACAATACCACCACACTCCACCTCAAGTCTCTTTTGGTCATGGTGTTTTATTCCAGCAATAGAAACCTTAACTATGACACACTGAATGATTACAACTTGACTGAGGATTTAGATGCCCTATAACAGATCACTAATTGGGTTTATTACATGTGTTGGATGCCAATAGTCTTTGCTCTTTCCAGATGGCATAATGAGCATGTAGTAACCTAACCATATACTTTGGAATAATGTTGATAAAATTTTGATTTCCTTTCCCAAAATCAGTCACCTCATTAGGGATATTTTGGGCCTTTGGGGTTGAAATGGAAGGGGATACTAGAGAACCTTTCATTATTTTCTGGGTAGCAATAGCATATGCTGTCTTATTTTCTTCATTTACAGTGTAACTGTTCCCATTATTAAACTACATCAATCCTGGATTTTTAGGGGCTTGTCACATAAATCATCAGACTCATTATAGTGTTGATATTACTAGGGTATGACAGTTTAGATTCACTGTTAATTTCACAGGATCTAGACTCTAGATTCTAGAATTACACATAATAAGTTTCAGGACACACTTGTGAGACATTATGTAGATTTTGTTAGCCTCTGGGAATGCCTGTATGGGGTTATATTAAATAAGTGAGTTGAAGTGGGAAGACCTTCCCTACAGGTAGGCAGCACCATTTCCTAGGCTTGGGTCACGGACTGCATGAAAAGGAGAAAGCAAGTCAAACCGCATTTGCCTCTCTCTGTCTTCTAACTGTGATTACAATGTAATCAGAATCTCAAGATCCTGCCACCATGACATCTTTGCCACTATGAACTAGACCCTGGACTCCCAGCAAAATGACCTCTACTTTCAGGAATTTAGTTTGGGGTTTTCTTTGGGGAGTCTCTCAAGCTATCCCACTCCATCCAAGTTACACCTAGCTATAATTATTTCATTGTTCTGTTGTTGATGGTGAGTAATATGTTTCTGTTACATCTCCCTAGGAAATGTCTCACAAGAAGGAAAGGCATAAAAAATGTATGGAACTATATCAGGGAATACTTGTGCTAATTAGGTATAGGAGAGACTGAAAATATTTAGTATGTAATAAAATTGGAGTACAAAGAAAATAAAAGATAACATGGGATGCCTCAAATTTTAAAACTTTAGGAAAAGAAAAATCTATTTAAAGGACTAAATGAGGGAGCAAAGAAATACGGGGAATAATTTCACAGGTATTTTGACAAATGCATTGTGGAGATTCCTTATAGCACTCTGTAACATAGTTTGGGAAATTTCATCTGGTGGAGAGTTGCAATTTTTATGGCATGGGAAACATAATTTTTATGGATTTAGAGGATGATGTAAGGGATCAAGATATTTTGATACTCATTTCCATGTCTACTATGTTCCTTGATTATTTACCTTCAGCAACAGTAATTAAAATCCATAACTCATAAGTGAGCAAGATTTTATTTGATGAAAATCCAAAGGCCAATCAATGAAATTCTAAAGCAACCAAAACAGGAAATATGAATGGAGGCCACTTGTCCACCTTTGGCATGTTCTGAATCTGGAAATTTTAGGTAGATATCTGAAGAATACTTGTGATTACTTCTTGTAATTTTGGATTTTCAAGTCTATGTAAGTTGGAAATTTACATTTAAATATTAGAATATATATGAGAACGCCGGGGAAGAGTGAAAGAAAGGGAAATTGTGCCACCCACTAGAAATAAGAAGGAAGAAAGAGTTGCCATTGTCAGTGCAGTGCCAACTCTCTGGGTATCTGGGAAGGACGGCATGAGGAAATACGGGGGGAAGTCAATCCTGTCCTTGTGAATGATGGCTAAATAGTTGTACAAGACGGAAAGGAAGACAAAGCCGCTAGCAATGATGTTCAGAACCCCTGAAAAGAAGAATGGATTGTAGGTGGCTTTCTTCCGGAGTCTCCCTGAGTAAATTCTCCAAAGAGCAGCAATGATGGAGATTGTCGCAACCATGCCGAGAAAGCTGGAGACAAGTAACAGGTGTTGTGCAATTCGAATATCCAAAGGAATGAAGGTATCCTGGTAGGTATATGGGTAACACACTCTGAAAATGCTGGAAATATTTTCCTGTTGGTAAACGCAGGTCATCCACATCCCCACTAAAGTCATGCTGGGCTTGGAATCGATGGGCTCTTTAAAAGACCACATTCGCCAATGAGGTAGGGCCATAGAGACGCTACAAAGGATCCATGCAAGGATGGCAGCAGCAAAGCCTCCTAGCTGCTGGTTGTCACGGCTGCTGACCATTTTAATGGTGACACTGAACACCTGGAATCTGCAAAGAAACACAGGACATCATGAGGATGGGCTCTTCAGGCCTGGGAGATTGTCCCCTGTTGGGGCAGTACCAGAAGAGAAGGGTTATGTTGAGCAGGTGAGCCTTTGACCAGGAAATCTCCTGCAAGGCATGTGTTCTGATCAAACTCAGAGGGACTAGCTCTGTGGCAACATTTACCAGCAGGTTGATAATCCACACACCACCTAAGATTTATCTTTTACCATTGTTTATAGACTCACAATGAAGTTTGGCCCCAAATATTTAACCATCCAGATTGTCATCATAGCATGAAATTTCGTACTGAAAATAGAAAGCCAACTGAAGCACAACAGTGGATAATTTATGCATTATCCATACCATGGAGTTCCATGCCAACCTTAAAGATAGAAGTGTGGTCATATATTCAAGCTGTGTTATTTTTGACTCAGCACATATAACTATTCATTTTTTGTGACACTGTATGGCTCTGTATCCCAGGCTGGCCTTCAGCTACAGGCAATCCTGCCCCCTCTCCTTTTCAACTGTTGGTATTAGAGGCAGGAACCACCACATCAGCTAACTAATGTCATATTCAAAGTCTATCAATGCTACAACCAGTGTGAGAAGATTGTCAACTTCCATAATATTTCTCATTGTATGGATGACCCATGCTTTCTCTGATCAATCATTGAATTTCTATGTCTGGATTAATACTGAGTTTTACTTATTATGAATGGTGCCATGTGCATTGTATGTAAGGATATCATGTATATATACCTATGTGTGTATGTATGTATAACTTATTAACTTATGTTGATATACATTCTCACTTTCCTTGGGTTTATCCTAAGGAACAGGATTGAGTTTGTGTAATACAGTGTCTAGTGTATATTTTAGAATTTATTAAATTGAAGAAATGACTAAGTTTAGAAAATATACTATAGAAAGAAAGCAAATGAAGTTATAATAACTGAAACATAGTCTACAACTAAGAACACAAATATCAAAATAACAAAATGACTGCAACTAACAATACTTTTCAATAATAACTTTAAGTACCAGTGGTCTCTACTTCCCAATCAAAAGTGTCAAGTTGGATAAAGAAACAAGAGCTATCTTTGTGTAGTCTACAATGAACTCACCTTCAACGTTAGGAGCCACCTTAAATTGAAAGGATGAACAAAGTATCCTAAGCAAATAGGAATAGTGAAAAAGAGCAGTTTTCTCTACCCTAATTTCAGACAAAACAGACTTCAAAATAAAATAAATGAAAGGAGACAAAGAAGGATACCTCAGAGACACAGCATCCAACCTCTCAACCCAGACAGATCTCACTCACCCTTTTCCAGGTCTAACCAAGTGACTCTCCTTGATCTTCCCCTGACATATAGACTTTCCAACAACCAGATCTCTCCCGAGACCCACGACTATGGCCAAGCCTATTCCAACCACCAATGTCTGCATGTAAAACAACCTCTATACTTCTGCCAGGAACCACCCGCCTTCCTCCCATCGAGAAGGCCCCTCCCACACCACCTTCAACCTTTCCATTCAGTCAGATCTACACCCATATTCAAGGCCTGGACCAGGAGGGACATCCTATACAGCAACCCAGTCCACTGTTTCCAGTAGACTGCATTCCTCCCTAGCCATTTCCAAACTCTAGGACCACCATGCCCACACATTCTCTCTTCTGACCTAATCTGCTCTATGCATATAAGATAAGAAAAGCAACTAACAGAATGAATCCATATGCCCAGATCTCATTGCATAAATACAATCAATATAAAAGATCAAGCCAGTGTCTTCTCTCCAAAATCTACCATACCTGTACAAGTATTTGCTAATGAGAATATATAGATGAGCCCTAGGACAAGAGCATATAATTTAAATCAATAATCATATGTTTCAGTAAAGAATTCAAGGAATGTAAGAAGACACAAAGAAACAGCTCAATGAAGTTAAGGAGACAGAACTGAAGGAGAATAAATTCCTGAGTGATGCCCATAACACACAAATATAAGGTTGATGGAAACAGCAAAGACAGCCTTGGACTTCAGAACAGAATTCAACCAGGAGATAGAAATATTGAGGAGAACTCCAGCCAAAATAAAAAACCAATAACTAAAGTAGAGAACTCAGTGGAAAGCCTTGTAAGTAGAATGACTCTAGCAGAAGATAGAACATCAGGACTCAGAGCTAAAGTAGAGGATCTAGACCAAGCAAGCAATGGATATGAAAATTTTACAAAAACACAGGGAAGGAACAAACAAGTAATGTGGGACATCATGAAAAGCCAAACCTTCAAATTATAGACATATGTGAGGGAGAAGATTCCCAAGTCAATAGCATAGACCAGGTGATCTTCAAGAAGATCACAGAAGGAAATTTCCCCAAACTAAGGTAAGGCACACCCATGCAGATACAAAAGCACATGGAACACCAAATAGACAAGAATAGAAAGGAAGATCCCACAGCATATCATAGTTAAAACACTAAGTATATATAACAAAGAAAGTGTATTGAAACCTGCATGGGAGAAACTGCAAGTCACATATGAAGAAAAACTCATCAGCATAACAGCTGATTTCCTGATGGCAACCTTGAAATTGAGAAGAGCCTGGAACAATAATCCAAGTCCTAAAAAGACTGCACATCTTTTAAGCCCTCCTTATTATCTTATTAACTTAATAGAATACAATTTTTAAAATTTTTTCCTTATTCTGTATTTCTTTGATGTCTGCTATTTTCCTCTGAGTACACCAAAAAACTCTATTGTCCACTCCATTGGCAGTCTCGGAGTGAAAACACAAACAAATCTCCTGCAACAAAAGATCAATAAATTTGAGAGCTGGTTCTTTGAGAAGATAAACAAGAATTACAGACTATTGGCAAAATTATTACCAAATGAATGAAATGCCAAACGAAGAGATTCAGAGCTAAAAGGGGAAACAACTGACATCAAAGAAATTCACAATAAGGGAAAAATTTTTAAATTATATTATATTGTTATAAAACCTAAAAGAAATGGATGAATTTCTAGATGCATCCAAACCACCAAAGTTAAGCCAAGAAGAGATCAACAATTTAAACAGGTACATAAATAAGGAAATAGAAACAATGATAAAATGCTTTTTGACTTCTTCAATTTCTTTCTTCAATATCTTAAAGTTTTTATTATACAAGCCTTGCACTTACTTGGTTACAGATATTGCAAGAAAGTTTTTGAGCTTATTAATTTGCATATAAAAAGGTTACTGATTTTGTGTGTCAATTTTGCATTCTGCTACTGTGCTGAAATTGGTTTTCAGTTGAAGAAGTTTCTTGGTGGAGTCTTTAAGGAATTTTACATATAAAATCATATCATAGGCAATTAATGATACTTTGAATTATTCCAAAGATGAAAAGTCCTCCCACGCTCATGAATCAGTAGGATTAATATTGTAAGAATGGACAGACTACCAAAAGCAATCTACAGATTCAGTGCAATCCCCGTCAAAATTCCAACATAATTTTTCACAGAAATTGATAAAGTAGTTGTCAACTTCAAATGGAAAAACAAAATACCCAAAATAGCTTAAACAATCCTAAGTAATAAAAGAGCTGCTGAAAGTATCACCATCCCAGATTTCAAGTTGTATTATAGAGCTACAGTAATTTAAAAAAAAAACATGAAATTGGCATAAAACCAGACACATTGGTCAATGGAGTAGAATAGCATAATCAGACATAATCCCAAACACTTTCGGACACTTGATTGTCGACAAAGAAGCTAAGAATGCACAGTGGAGAAAAGATATACTCTTCAACAAATTGTTCTGGTCAAAGTGGATAGCTGCATGTCAAAGAATTCATATTTATCACCCTGCACAAAACTCAATTCCAAATCCATCAAGTACCTCAATGTAAGACCAAATATCCTAACCTGATAGAGGTTAAAGTATGGAATAGGCTTTAACTTATTGACACAGGAAAGGACTTTCTGAACAGGACAGCAATACCACACCATTAAAGAACAACAATTAATAAAAGGAATCTCAAGAAACTAAAAAGCTTCTGTACAGCAAAGGATAAAGTCATTCAAGAAAAGAGGAAGCCCACAGAACAGGCAAAAATATTTATCAATTATACATCTGATAGAGGGTTAGTAACTGGAATACAAAAAAACTAATTCAAAAAAACTGATCAACAAAAGAAATGATTCAACCAAAAAGAAAATACAGATATAATCAGAGTTCTCAAAAGATGAAACATGGATAGCTGAGAAACACTTAAGAAGTTTTCAATATACTTATTCACAAAGGAAGTTCAAATTAAAACTATGTTAAGATTTCACCTTACCCAGTCAGAATGACCAATATCAATGGAAAGTGACAGCTCATGCTGACAAGATTGTACAGAAAGGGAAATACTTACTCATTATTGTAAGAAAGCAAACTGGTACAGCCACTGTGAAAATCAAAGTGGAGGTTCCTCAAAAAGCTGAAAAGTGTTCTGCCACAATACCCTGGTATACCATTCTTAGGCATATACCCAAAGAACTCTATATCTTATTACATTGACACTTGCTCTTCCATGCTCATGGCTCCTCTCTTCATAATAGCCAGGTATTGCAAAAAGAAAGCTTAGATATCCTTTGACTGATAAATGGATCATGAATATGTTACAAATATACATAATAGAATATTATTTAGCTGTTAAGAAAAATGAAATTATGAAGTTTGCAGGTAAATTTAAGGAGCTAGAAAATATTATCCCAAGAAAGTTGACCCAGATCTCAAAAGACAAATATTGCAATTTTTTCTATTACGTATGAATGTTTGGTTAAGCTTTAGATATGTGTGTTTCAATCAGAATAACCATAATGATTAAGTAGCTATTAAGGGGCCAAGGGAGACCAGGAGATCTCCAAAGGAAGGGAAAATGTAGCATAGTGTTACAAAGATATAAAGGAAAACTAGAATAGGAAGATTAAAAAGAGGGATGTGCA